ATAGATAGATAGATAGATAGCAGTGCTGTAAATGGAAGCTGAGGGCTGTGATGTTGGCTGACAGGGACTGTGAGAAATACCAATGCACATTTGCATTAAAAAGTCATCTTTTTTTCACTCAGAAGGTCTTGTGTTCTTCATACTATGACAGTTTAACTAAAATGAATTCATAACCCCTGTATTGTGATATGTATCATATCTCCAGATTCTTGCCAATACACAGCCCTATTAAAATGCACTTTCTTATCCCTCTGAAATGGATGAGTACGCCTAGAAATGGTCAGTCTAAAAGTTCTTGAATAAATGTGTCTTCTCTGCTTACAGAAGCTGTGCAGTTTCTTATGATGGCAATAACACAGCAAACAGCTTTAACAAAACAAAAAAAACTCATTGATGATGATTGCCTTATTGTCAGGCTGGCTTTTTTTTTTCAAAAGAACCGTTTACCTTGTTTATGAGAGAATAGCGATCCTGCCCTGGCTCATGGGTCCGTCCGTTGGTGCTGATAGTGATATATCCAGTGATAAATGATGGGAAGTAGCAGTACTGTCTAAAAGCCTACAGCACATGAAAGTGCAGTCAGTGGCCGCGCTGTGTTTGCCAGTGTTCGCTCGGATAGGAGCAGTCTGAGGCAGCGGCTCTTCACACACTGACTAACTTTACCCATTCTCAAAACACTGGCCTGACTGCTCCAGTGACATCAGCAGCCTCTCCACCAATCACAGGCCGTTGCCGTCCTGCACGCTCCGCTGTGAACGTGATCACTCATTAGCTCGATTTCATATCAGCACTTTGTAATATGACTAGGCAAAAGCAGATGTTGCTAATGAGGCTGCATTCTGAGGGTGACCTGATCCCAACAAACCAAATGTGGGACAAAGAGTATGTCTGTCTGCAAGGAACAATGTGGGACATGTTTCCAATACTGAGGGCTTGTTACCATCTAGCCTATATGGTAACATGGATAACATGTCGCATCTCCATATAATATATTTATATATAATATTCCTCTTCCCAGTAATTAGTAATGTATCTAATTACTAATTTATTACAGTTATACCCTCAATAAATAATTAGTTACAACCTTACTTTTGTTGTACATTCAGCAGCTGGAAATATTCCATTATTTTGATTTTAACGATTTTGATCGAATCTTGAATCTAACTTTTAAAAGAAACATTTCTGTTCTGCTGCTTAGCTTGTGGCATATCTAAGCTTTGCCTTCTGGTTGGTTCAGTAGCACACAATAGCTAACTAGCTTGTGAAATGCTTGAACTTGCTGAAATAAATACAGTAAGATTATGTTTCACAGTTGTTATGGTCTTACACCATAGTTGCCTTCCACTGGCTTCATCCAGTTATAAGTAGTAGTCCCATCATATTTTGCCTAAATGTGCATTGTGGCACAGACTGTGACAGTTTAACTGGCACTTCACCTACCTGTCCTCTGGATTAATTGACATCAAACACAGCCCTGTGATGCAGCTTTCTCCACAGCCATTAGAAAAAAAAACAAGCTGCTCTGAAAATGGCCATTTTAAATAATTAATTAGTAATGTGAGCAAAACCTACCTATATGTGTTTTCCAATATACCACCCTGCATCAGGGGATTATAGGTTGTAACCAATTGCTCTTTTAATCATTCATAAATGATTTACTAATTGTGTAAAGATCAGTTATTCAGCCTGACAACACCAAGGATGTTCTTATTAAAGCTGCAGTAGGTAACCTTTATATAAAAAAAAGCTTTTTGTCATATTTGCTGAAACTTTCACTATATCCTGACAGTATCGAGACAGATAATCTGTCCTTAAGGAAAATATGCTGACTTGAAGTTGCACCTGATTTGAAATACTAAAAGATGTTGTCATTAAAGGTGGAAGTGTTGAATAGAATTGGAAGTCTCAATCTTCAATTAAGTTTAAGTGTCAGTTGAGGTACAACGATGGAAGGGGTCGAAGAGAGTAGGTAACTTTTATAAAAAAAACCTTTTGTCAGTTGTTGTTGTTGCTGAGATTTTCACTGTGCCATAACAGTAGTACATGAAACAGTACTATTTTGGTACCATAAATGTATTATTAACATTAAAGTAAACACAAATACATGCTGAAATGTGACTGAAAATTGTTACAGTTTCCTTCCCTCTTTTTACCGCAATGTGGTTTTAAGAATATAAGTAGAAGATTTATACCTGATACACAACACAACTATTTATTAGCATCCTGGGACCATTATTCTTACTAATGACTTGTCCCTTCTTTTACGAAAACTGTGGCCATCCTTTTCGGATTTTAGTTTTTTTTAGTAAAGGTACATGATCATTCAAAAGTGATTCTTTCCTTCAGTATTGACTAAAAATAGTGTAATTCAGACACCAAATGTATTAACAATTAAATGATTAAAACCTCCATTTAAATAAAATACCCTTCGATTTTGAATTTGTTTTCCAGTCCCGAAAAGTGTAAGCGACCATAGATCATTACTGAACCACAATGGTGCCACTGGGCTCTAAATATTTTGGGAACCTGTTTTTCTTTCAGCCCTCTGCCTTCTACTCAGTGATTGAACAGGTTTAAACTGTGATTTTTCAGTCCACCCTAGACCAGACTTCTGCTCATATTTTAAAGTTTTAAGAATAGCTTTGCACAAGCAACACTTCATACAAAATAACATCTATTTGTAAAGAGGACAACCTACAACCTGAAACCATGAATGACCAAAAATACAGAGCTCAACCATAGGTTTGACAATAATGTATACAGTGTATAATGTAAACAGGAGAAGTCATGGCAGTGGAACCATTCAGCAAAATCTGTCAAAAGACTCAAATCCTGGGCTGGAAAGTAGCCCTGCTGAAAGTACAACACTTTGACTCTGCTGCCACCTGCTGGTATAGAAGTTCTCCACAACTCATCAAAAACAAGCTGCAGACTGATCAAAATAAGCATACAGTTAAATCCAAGTTACCTCCCACCACTTTCAAAATCTACATTGTATTTAAGTGGAAGGATGAAGTATTATTTTATTGCTATTCTCATTATTTCCTGTATGTAATGAGAAACTAAAAAAAAAAAATGTTTTTAGTTTTGTTGGGTCTTATCCTTGACATTTGGGTGTTTGCAGTCTTGTGTTTATTGCTTATTTTTGTCTAAAATTGGAAACGTACTTTTGATACAAATTGATATAGATGAGTTGCAAATAATCAGTAGTTGCCTACTTTTTAAGCAAAGGTTCAGTGATAGATTCGTACACAAATCTATTTTTCTGTTTTGTGAAAGAAAAAAACATTATTTCCTGCGGTAAGATTAATTATTAATCATAACAGTTTATTCTGAAAAGATCGGTCCGCAATTGTTGCTGCTGGTATAGAAATGAACAAGTTACTGATTAAATGTAGGTTTCTCCGACTTGATTTAAGACAGTTCTCATCTATTTGTCTATTTTTGAGAAAGAAAAAGGGGAGGAAGCTTTTATTCTGGAAGTCTCCTTTTACATTAGACACAAAACAAAACAAAAAGGGCTGCTTGTGGATAATTGGACTTCAAAATAAAGGCACGAACGCCCTGCTGAGAGATGTATTATTAATTATTAAAATTATTAAAAGAACAATTATTATTACGTAATATCTTAAAAATACTTCATATTTGATTGAGTTTTGAACTGACTGGCCCTTGTACGAAAATGAAGGCGTTTCACTTCTTGAGTACTATAAATGTAACTATTACGCTTTTATTCTGAAAAAACAAAAAAAAAGCCCGACTGGAAGTCTTCTTGCTCTTGATAACGGAACACAGATGTATTAATGTCATGTTACCTGTTCCTGATATAGAGACACGTTAATAAGACACTGTGCAGCTGGCATTAGAACAACCATTAAACTTGACGGTGAGTCGTTAAAGTGAGCTAACTCTAGCTATCTGAACAACGAAGAAGACACTGACGTGTTTGACATATTAGCTACATTTACATTTTAGAAATGCACAGAGGGAAGGACTATCCAGAAGACTATGGATACTAATAAAAAGACAGTTAGACACCACTCTGGAGTCGGGACATTTGAAAGATTCAACGCGGCTTTGAGACGGAATGGACACTATTTGTACCCTGGTACGGTTTGAGATGCAGTTTCAAATGGGACATGCGAGCCTGGAGGATGGGACGACTGTTCTGGGGGGGACAGATGTGTTTTTAGCCCGGTGAATTATCCTATCAGAGGTGGAAAGTGTATTTTTCCACAGCGAGCGGGATAATGCTCTACAGAGATGTTGGATACACGTCAGCACCTCCTCAGACAACGGTAGCATTCATACTCGTTCACCGCAGAGCTGAACTCTTCCTCAGGGTAACCCTACCCTGACCGTCAAACGTCGAGCTATGGCTCTGAAATCAAGGAGACCGTGGACGACCGTGATTTTCGGCGTCTTTCTCGGATTCACCGTATCCTCTTGGCTTATTGTACCTCAGGTTCTGGAGAGTAAACGGAAGAAATCTCCCGTGTGTTTGTACTACGGTGACTCCTCCGTCGGTAAAGGTCCTGACATCCTCGGCAACACCGCGGCGGCCAAAGACCTGGACAGCCCGCAGTTCGGTCAGGAGGAGGACAGGGTATCCAGCACGAGGAACAGTAGCGGAGATACCGGGAGACCCGTAAGCAGACCGAACCGTTTCCTCTATGTCGGCGTGATGACGGCGAAGAAATATCTGCGATCTCGCGCCATGGCCGCGTACAAGACCTGGGTGAGTTCCATTCCCGGGAAGGTGGAGTTCTTCTCGAGCGCCGGTTCTGGCAGCGTCTACCTACCCGTACCCGTCCCGGTGGTTTCCCTTGCAGGTGTGGACGACTCCTACCCGCCACAGAAGAAGTCATTCATGATGCTGAAATACATCCACGACCACTACTTGGATAAATACGAGTGGTTCATGCGGGCAGATGATGATGTTTATATAAGAGGTGATTATTCTGTGAATGGCTCGAGTGTGTGTGCGACAAAAATACAGTCTAATATTACACTGTTTTTTGGGCTAGTTACTCAAAAAAAATAATTGATTACTCATTACTCAGTACTGTTTTCAAAAGTAATAGTATTATATTACTTAGTACTCCCTGCCAACAGTAGTTAGTTACACTACTATTTTTAGTATTACTTTTTGGCAACTGTGTCCTTTCTTCCCAAAATTCAGACTTACGACGATTAAACTCCAGTTTTGTTTGTTAAAATCAAAGTAATTGGATATTTCCAGCTGATGAATGTCAGTGTTTCCATCTTCCAAACTAATTTCCTCCACGATTCCAAAAAGGAATCCAAGGATGTGATTGGATTGTTGGATTTCAGATCAATAGGGGGTTACAACAAAAGTAGTATTGTAACTAATTATTTTGGAGGCGTAACACTAATATTGTTACTGAAATGTATTTGTAATTAGTGACACCAACAGTTACTGTGGAAAGTTATATTATCACTAATATTATTACTAGTAATTAGTTACTGCCTGACACTGTTAACCATACATTCAACTCACAATTCAATATTATTCATGATACAGAGTGATTTTCTCACAATCTTCTATAACAAAAATGACGTTAAAGACAAACTATGAAGATAAAGAATATAAAATATTCCTTTATTTCTCAGACAAATATCTACAAAATATGTTTTCTATGTAAAGATATATTGTGAGATTATTATCTGTCTCATGAATTACTGTCAGGATATAGTGAAAGTTTCAATAAATATGACAAAATATATTTTTATAAAAGTTACCTACTGCATCTTTAACTGTCTTGCGGCATTACATTCCTACAGCTTTCTAAAGTTAAGTTCACGAGGCACAGTGATTCCCATAGTCCAAATGTATTGTTTTAAAAAAATAAAAATAAAAACATTTATGAGGAGATATTACGTTGCTATTGTCAGAACATATGATATTAGATGTGATGGGTTGGATCTCCATGCACATTGGAAGGAGGTGAAGTAGTGCCCGAAACCCTTCCTTTGCTTCTACAGTGTATCTTTATTGCCTGTGTTGTAGAAGGATCCTGTGTCCAAATTAAAACTCTGCTTATTCCAGAATGTGTTAAACTAAATGACTGAAACATTAAAAACTGCAAAATTAACTTTTTTTTCCCACCAGCCAAATGACTAGTGAAAGTTCACATTTGACCAGCCACTCACAGAGAGACTACAATATTTTTTAGTAATACAATATATGGTTTTACTCTTCCAAAACTACTGTTTTGTTTCAAGTCATGTTGTTGTGTTCCCAGATCTCAGCACATAGTTAAAGGGACAGTTCACCCCAAATTCACATATGTTTTTAATTATTTAAATACATATTTTTTCACTTTCCTGTAGTGCTGTTTATTCATCTAGATTGGTTTGGTGTCACCTGCTGAGTTGGGAGATATCTACCTTCTCTCCAGTGTAATGGAACAGATGGCACTTGTGGTGCTCAAAGCAACAAAATGTAGAAATATGTGAACTGTTTTCTTTCTACGTATCACTATCCTCCTCGGCTAAGCTGTGACGTTGGCTAGCTTACCTAGCACCACTGAGAAAGTTCGGTGCAAAGAAAATAGTTCCTACATGAAACTGCTCAAAACAAGGTCTGTGGATTTTCTTGAGTAATCTGATTGTGATTTCTAGAAAGAGAAATTGCTGTTGAGTTTTTCAAATGTATATTTTTGGCACTTTGAGCACCACAAGCCGATCAGATTCCATTATATAGAAGGGAAGGCCAGTATCTCAGAAAATAGATAAACTCTGCAACTAAGTAAAACCATCTAGAATATATAAATAGCACTACAGGCAAGAGACAAAATATGTAGTTTTTATTTTTGGGTGAACTCCATTTAAGTTAGGACAATGTTATTATAATTAATAGAAATGATGTTCAGAACTAAGCTTTAAGATCCAAATCATGACAATGATCTCTGTGTGCACAGTTATAAATATATATGAATTATGGGCTACTTTTTTTAGTAAATTGCCCTTAATTTCTGATGAGTTTTTCTGGATGAATGATTGTAAGAAACCTGAGCTTTGTTTTAGGAAGGGAACCTTTTGTGTGGCTGATTTTATTTTTAGAGCCTGAGACAGAAGATAAAGTTCTCCGATACAATGCAAGAAATTATGTTAAGTCCGTGTTTGCAATAAATAAAAATAAACAATAAATAAATAAATATATATATTTTTTGTATATACTGTATTTTCTTTTGACCATTACACACTGCTGAATATAATAAGTTTGGCTTGCTTTATCAATATATTTTTTTATGTTGGGATGTTTATACTGAGCAAAGTAACATTTTTAACCTTAACCAGCCATGCATCTAATTTATCCCACCTCACCCTCTGCCAGGTGAGAAGCTGGAGTTGTTTCTGCGGTCACTGAACAGCAGCAAGCCCCTTTACCTGGGCCAGACAGGCCTGGGCATGGCTGAAGAGCTGGGCAAATTGGCCCTAGAGCCCGGAGAGAACTTCTGTATGGGAGGCCCCGGGATGATCTTCAGTAGAGAGGTGCTACGCAGGATGGTCCCTCACATCAGTACCTGTCTGAGAGAGATGTACACCACCCACGAGGATGTGGAAGTGGGCCGCTGTGTGCGACGCTTTGGAGGAACACAGTGTGTGTGGTCTTACGAGGTATGGATTGAGTCAGTCTGCTTCCTGTTCTTTCAGGTTCCTAAAATGTCACTGAGTCTATATTTAGTGGCAGTGGGGGAATTTGATCATTACTGTGTGAATTCAGGTATAAATTTCTTACATGTACGTATAATATCCAAAAGAAATACTGCTTTCCGAACTGATTTAGCGAGAGACATTATTAAAACAAACATAGACAATTGATAGACAACCAAGTCATTCCACTTTATATCAGGAGCTTTGTTCAGTTTTATGGCCTGTGGAGTGGTTGATATGGACTAGGAGAAGATATTAGGCTTCATGACAGGCATCTTCTGCAAAATCTCTAAGATCGTTTCCCATTGTAATGTTAACAGTCAATAATTATTACATATGCTTATGTGACAGGTATTAATTGCTTGTTCATTAGCTAGTAAGCTATGGCAAAAACCTGTGAGCATATTCAGTTAGGGCTGCACGATTTGGTAAAAACATTATATTACGATTATTTTGATATTGTTATAGTGATATGATTCACAATTAGTGTGGGAATGATCATTTTTCTATTACAGATTTACTCAATAAAAATCATGATGAATGTGAATTGTGTTTTTACCAAATACACGTCTTTTCTTAAATCTGGAGAACAAGATTTGTAGGCCAAGATATCTCTGCAGTACTACAGTACTTTGTGCAGTACATTATAAAGCTGTCACACATTTTACCTTTTTCAAAAAACTACAACTTCCATTGATTTGCATATTGCACTTGGCCATATTGTGATTTCGATTAATTGTGCAACCCTATATTTAGTCAAATTAGATGCATATTTGGGTCATCAGAACTAGAATCACATCAGGCTGAGGCCATTTCACAGTCTACATTAGCCAAGGTGAGAACAAAACAATCTTTCCTTTCTAATATCCACTTGTATGTGCAACACAAAAACAAATCCAAAACCAATGCCGGTGGCATATGACTGACTGCAAAACACAGCTACTTAAAGGTCCAGTGAGTAGGATGTATTGGAATCTAGCAGTGTAGTTGCTGATTGCCTCCGCCTCACCCTCCCGTTCCAAGCGCATAGGAGAACCTACGGTGGGCGTGAAAAATGCAAAAGTCCCTATAGCTCAATTCAATTCCAATTAATTCAATTTATTTGAATATAGCGCCATTTCATAACAGGAATTTCTCAAGAACTTTTCATTGGAGCAGAGGTCTAGGACCGAACTCCTTAGTCATTTACAGAAGACCCAACAGTTTATCCACCATGAGCAAGACTTGGGCGACGGGGAAAGGAAAACGCCTTTAAGAGGCAAACCTAGGACAGTTTACCTTCGGCTCTATGGTTGGGTGGTCATCTGCTTGACCCCAGTTTGGGTTGGGGGAGGGAGAGAGAGAGAGGAGAGAAACAGAGAGAGGGACAGACAGATGTACAGCAAGCAACCGTAGCAACAAAACATACTTTACTATTATAGTAAATGATCGATGACGATATGAAAAAAGACTGATGACGATGACAGCAGCAGCCGATCGGGTGACAGCGAGCAGCGACAAGCAGATAATGTAGCCAATAATAATACTTGAATAATAACTAATACATAATAAAAAGAATCTTAGATCAGATCAGAATCAGAAAATACTCTAATATCGCCAGGGGGAACTACTTTCGTGTACAAACTCCAAATCTAGCATACAACATTTAGTTTACTAAACGTATAATAATAATATCAGTCAATAGTCAGCCAGTGTTTGGTTTGCCTGACTGGCTACTGTAAAAACATTGGCAGTTGAACATGCGCGGACTCTATAGAAGAGAACTCCCGCTCCCTCTGTAGACAAAAGCTAAGGTAAAAACTAAGGTAACGAAAACACAACAATTGTTATTATCATTATACACTTATTAAAACATACCTTTGAATGTTATAATCAATTTCTGCCAATAGATCCTCCTAAATGTTACACACTGGACCTTTTAAGCTCATTTGAAGTAAATCTGAAATAAAAAAGAACATTTTGTTTGAAAGCAGTTAGTCTGGTTTGATCAAAGTGAAGCTGAGTGTTGTTTGTACTGGTACTTCATCCATGCTCTTATCCTGGTGTTGCAACTCTTTCCACAGATGCAGCAGCTCTTCTATGAGAACTATGAACACAACAAGAAAGGTTTCATTGAAGAACTTCAGAGTAGCAAGATCCACAACGCCATTACACTCCACCCCAACAAAAAGCCTGCCTACCAGTATCGGCTCCACAGCTTCATGCTGAGCCGTGAGATCTCAAGGCTTCGTTACCGCACCATCCTGCTCCACCGCGAAGGCCTGATCATGAGTTACCTCAGTGACTCAGAAGTACTGTGGGAGGACCAACAGCTGGGTTCCCCACCTTCATACATGCTCTTTCAACCCAATGAGAGAAACGATGTCATTGAGTGGGATTTCCTGACTGGCCGCCATATATATTCTGCTGTTGAGAACAAGATAGCCCGACAAAACCTTGGGAACTTGTTTCGGACTGCACTAGAAGACATTATACTCCAGGTCATGGAAATGATTAATGAGAATTCGAAAACACGTGGCCGTGTAATTGACTTTAAAAAGATTCAGTATGGCTACTACAGGGTGGATCCAATGCATGGTGCAGAATACATCTTAGACTTACTCCTCCTGTATAAGAAACATAAGGGACGCAAAATAACGGTACCTGTGAGGCGGCACGCTTACCTTCAGCAGTCCTTTAGTAGACCCTTCTTTACTGAAACCGAAGAGTTAGATGTGGCTGAACTTGTGGCTGCCATCAACTCTGAATCCCAATCCCTGTCTTTCCTATCCAACTCTCTGAGGTTCTTGTCACCTTTCCAGGTCTATGAATCAACCAGGGAAATATGGGAGCAAAGCCAGAGAAAGGTCAACATCCTTGTCCCGCTGTCTCGTCGCTATGACACCTTTGTCCGCTTTATGGAGAACTTTGAGAAAGTGTGTTTGATACCCAAACAAAATGTTAAGCTCTCCGTCATTCTGGTGGACAATGAAAGCAATCAAGACAGAGGAAGACACACTCAGTTAATTAAAGACTACTACAGGAAGTATCCTAAAGCTGACCTGTCTGTAATCCCCATGACAGGCAACTTTTCACGAGGACTGGCTCTGGAGCTGGGCTCCTCACAGCTTGATAACAACACTCTACTCTTCTTCTGCGATGTTGATCTTATCTTTAATGGTGATGCCTTGCAACGCTGCAGAGACAATACTGTCCAAGGGAGACAGGTCTATTTTCCTGTTGTCTTTAGTCAGTACAACCCCAAGATAGTTTATTCAGAGAAGGCCCCAAGAGAAAACAATTTTGTGCTCACCAAGAAAAGTGGTTTCTGGCGAGATTACGGCTTTGGAATCACTTGTGTTTTCAAGAGTGATTTACTAAAAGCTGGAGGTTTTGACACCTCAATCCTAGGCTGGGGATTGGAAGACGTAGACTTGTTCACAAAAGTTATTAACTCCGGTTTAAACGTGTTGCGCAGTCAAGAACCAGGAATTGTCCACATGTATCACCCTGTCTACTGCAACGCAAGTCTAGAGCAGAAGCAACACAAAATGTGCCTTGGCTCAAGAGCAAGTACGTTTGCATCAACAATGCAGTTAGCAGAGCTGTGGCTGGAAAAACACATAGAGGGAGGGTACAACAGAACTTCATCCTGACATTCCAGCCATAATGGACTCCTCCATGCAAGTTTACCTCAGTTCTGCTTGAATGCAGACAGTGATGGACTTTTGTAGTGTGACTGCAGATCAGAGGTCTTGAAAATTTGATCCAAAAAGGACCCAATACTATCCTATCCAAAATGGAAAAGACCCAAATCCTGACTGATGTGACAGCAGGTAAACTCAGATCCAGAGGAAATGGTACAGAACAGAACTGAGTCCAGGATTGCTGCACCAAATTTGTTGGAGGTGTCTACTACCTTATCCAGTCCCAAACCATCTTGGAAAACCACTGAGTTAATATAAATTGGCTGTTAGTTGGTACATTGGACATTGTACTGTTCACTCTAGCATTACAGATTAGTTGATTTATTAGTTACAGTGCAAATTATGCAAATATAGAGGTTTGGGACCTTTTATTGTGGTTCCTTAGGGTTTGGGTCAATTCTAATTCTTTACCAGTGTCGTTTTTAGACATGTATAGACAACAAGGCTACTTTGGGGCGTCCCAAGTGTTGGAATTTAAACAAATCACTCAAAGAGCAAGCTATATTAATCTAAATATGTTAAAGGTGATTTCAAGTAATTTGTAAACATGACAGGAAATGAAACCAAGGAAAATATATAGTGGAATCATAAGGACGTTAAAGGTTATACCCAAGTTTGAATGTGTTTATGGTTTCAGTATGCAGCAGAATCACTGCTTGCAACTCATTTAACCATTTAATACTGGAATGTGGTATCGTCTGCTGCGTTACACAATCTGTGCGTGTGTGTGAGAGTGAGAGAGTCATAGCGAGGGAGTTAGTCTGCTTTAATTTGCTACCTTAATCTGCCATAATCCCCAGGTGATTTTTTTAGAAATCCCTTCCTGCAGACCTGAAGATAAGGCTGTGTAGATAGTGTCCCTTCCAAGATGATTCCTGTTGTGCTACTGTGCTAAGATTATTTAGGTTGTTGTCCAGCTGTTTCTCTAATTTCCACTCTCAAATCCAGTTGTTTTCTCCCCTACCTGGGGTATGTGTTTGCCTTGTTTTTATTCATGCCAAACCATGGGGATGCAGCAGTTTACTACTGTCAGAGGACAGCTAATAGAATGTTTACAAGGCATATCATAGTTATTATGATTATGACATTTGCTTATAGGAGCAGTGTAGGCTTTGGTGGCATCTAGTGGTGAAGTTGCAGATTATAACCAAATGAACAACCGCTCGCCTTCCAAGCAAGTGTAAACCTATCGTGACGTAACCTATTGGATTGTGGAGTACTGTTTTGAAGCCTCAAGCTTGGGGTACTCACTGAGAATGACTTGTCAGTCACAAGTTAGCCACGCCCAAAGGCATACCCTGTTTTATAGTCTATTTTACTCTAAATGGGACCATACTGGTTGACACTTCTGCGTTGGCTTCACTTTACAGACCCAGAAGCTCTGTCCATTATATATACTGTTAATGCTTCTAAGTCTGTAGGAGAAACTTTGGTGGTAAGCTAAAGTTGCAGAAAAAAACAAAAAACGTGAAAGACCCTATCTAGAGCC